AACTCAATTAGCCTATTCCTGGGCACAAGGTTGGTAAGAAGATGGTAGGAAACTGATTCTAGCCTCATCTGGTTTCTACTGATATTTAAGACGTTGCCAATCTGTCTTAAGTCAAGTTATGCAAAAAAATGTCCTCTGTTTCACTCATGACTGACACAAGTGAGGCAGACAAGGTTCTCTGGGTAAATCCTATATCTTTTATTAGACCAACTAAAATAGTTGGAAAACATTTTCTTTGCACACTTTTGGGTACAAACACAAAGATTTTTTCCAACTATTTCAGTTGGTCTGATAAAAGATATCGGATTTACCCAAAGAACCTTGTCTGCCTATGTCCTTAGACCAACATGGCTACAACCTGCACCCCTGACAAAAGTGAAACATTTGTGATATCTGTGGTTCTTTTTGCTCTTTCTGACATTGTCACTAACAATGTCCCAGTCTGGCTATTAGGAATGACAAGAATCAATAGCAGCATCAGGGATCCAGGGGAACAGCTAGTCTTTCTCCCCAAGAACTTACAACCAGAGTCCTGAAAGGGATTGTCCTGTCACTGCTCCTATTTAAATTCTGTTTAGGCCTAACAAGGTGACAGGATCTATGATACCAGCAATTTGCCAATGACATGTAGCCCGATAGGTGTTTTTCACTTATCTCTGGCAGCAGTATCTGAAAGTTATTTCGAGTTTACAGAAGAAACAGAAGACTGAATGAAAAATGGCTGGTTCATACTAAATCCAGGGAAGACTTAAAAGATTTAAGGTGGAAAAGGGACACATTCCAAAGAAGTAGCAAACACTGCTAACCTGCCCTCAACCCATTCTGGTGGGTGTGTATCTTCATGGTTACACTGCATACCTCACTGGCCTTCACAGTGAGCCAAAAAAAGAGATATTCTCCATTTGCTAGCTGACAATAGCTTGACCACTGTAGTTCATATCTTGACCACTGATGTCCATCACTTGTGTAATTCTACTAGGACTCTGTATGATGGTGTCCATCTCCTAAGTAATACTAGGTTACATAATGAAATCCTTGTTTCTTCCCTGTGAATGTAAAACAGTTTATTCTGTCCAGATGTTTGTTCCCTATAGAAATAAGAATAATTCATTTATGGCAATTGCCTCTAGCTTACCCACCTGTAGAAAGGGTACCATTTATCTATCATACAGAGGGATTGTGAAGATTAGCTGTAAATTATGTTGAGGTAAATGGTACTAGAAAAAGTGTACCAGTGAAAAAATAGGATAAATAAAATAATTTTTAAAAGTATAATTATTCCATTATTGTGTAAATTATTATACTGTTGGAGAGAATTTGGGATCATACAGACCCATGCATACCTGCTCAGAATAGAATGTGACCATATGAGTTCAGATTAAAAAAAAAAAAAAGCAGCAAAATTCTACAGAACTCAGTTTGGTGTAAATATTCCTTGTTACAGAAAGTGAAGAAAGAAAGAAAGAAAGAAAGAAAGAAAGACTCTGACTTTTAAGAAACGTTTATTCCGGGGAGGGTGACAAATGGGGGGGCAGTATAAGTCATGTACAGGTTGGCCCGAAGATCTGGGTCTCGAGGACAAGGCCTGACCATACACTCTAGAGAAAAAAAACCCACAAAGAACAAAAGAAGTATTTATATATATATATATATATATATACACACACATACACACACAGTTCTTGCCAGTGGGGACACCCAGGGGGGCCTTAGGACATCAGGGGTCGGCCCGCATGGACAAAGCCCGAGGTCTCGGCTTGTTGGACGCGCCTCTGCACCTTGAGCAGCTGGTGGCATCACAGGGCAAGGAGCAGGCGTCCTGCCTCGACTTGACACAGTGTCCCCTCAATGACCCAGTATTCCTCAAAGGTGGACACTGTCCGCCAGAGGACCGCGTGCTTGAACTCAAGCGAGAGGCGGGCCTGCACC